TTAGGGTCCCGGATTTATTATTTGTTATTAGGGGGGTTTTTATTAATATGAGGAAAAAATTATTATACCCCTTTAAAGGGACCTAGGGTTTCCATGTCATATTCCATTTTCTTTTCCACTTCATTCTCAATTATAGGGCCCTAAACCCTATATTGTTGGGTACCATAGCAAAGGCATTGACAACCCTCTCAGGGCGAGGCTCCAACCGAGCAGCGCATGACGGATGCTCCTAGTTCACCATGTTGCTTGGAGGGTGATATCCCATCAAAGTAAGACAGAAAAACCCAAACAGCATGACATTCAGGCTCTGGTTAGGGTTGAGGAATTTAGGGCCTTGGGCATTCTACGAGGTGTCGGTTTAGCTCTCAACGATACCCAACGTTGATCCACTTAAGGACCTGGTAACCTTCTGAGAGAGTTTTTGCTCACGCAAGCTGCAGATTCAAGGGGCTTGGATCTCTGCAACAAAAGAGGTCCCCTTTGCTGAAGTTACTGAGAGGAATCTGCTGAGGCTACTGAAGCAGATTTATGCATATCCTTCTAAGCTTTTTGCCTGGCTTGTGTTGACAGCACATCTCGTGAGCAAAGCCTACGTAACATTCCGGCCCTCAACCCACATGTCTTCCCTGACTCAGGTCTTGCTGACCACTTTCTGCTCTGCAATGTGCAAGAACCCGTGTATTTACAAGTATCGCGTGCAAGACACATTGCACGTTGCTACATGAAGTGGTCAAGGCACTTCTCATGTCGCTACAGCCTGCGCCCAACACAAGGACTGATCTACGCAGGATCTATAAGGACTCTCAAGAGCAGCAGAATCTCTGTGTTTGGGGTAGAGGAGCTCGATATGGCTGACACATACATGAAGCTCCACATGCACCTGCCCGTAATGCAAAGATGTCAACCCTTCAGCAACCGAATGCTTAGCCCCCCACTGCCAAACGCCTCTTCAAGGGACAGTAGCGGACTAGAGCTCTTCACTAAACAATGAGCCCCAAATCCCTAAACCCTAAGCCCTTAGCCCTATGTCTGGACCCAAACTCTCCCTTATCCTGCCTTTGCGCTGCAGTGTAGTGGCCTTTGCCTCTATGGGAGGACGGAGGGATTAGAGCAATGAAGGATCATCAGGTTTACCACACCAAGATTCCAAGCATTATTGCCTGGGGTCTGGAACTTACAAGGTTGATCACAACCATGGATGGCACATGGCATATGTTTAGGGTGGTGGGTCGGCTGCTGGGTGTGTGAAAGTTTCGCCCTAGAAAATTTTGAGAACCCTATTCATACACAAGCGTATTCATTGAATTGTCAAGGGGTTGTCCAGGTGATTCTCCACAAATGGGCTATATATCCCCATATCCACCCTATTTTGGACCCCCCTTGTGGATCTTACATAAGTCAGGCTTTTAAGGTTCAATTACCAGGTGGCAGGTCGCATCTACTAAAGGCAATGACAGGTGGTACTGTTGATACTAAAAATCCTGCATGACCTTTGTATACTATAGTACCATTATTCCCAAGGTTTAGTGTATTTAGGGTCATGCAGGAGTTTTAGTCTCCACCGTAGTTTCCTACAATAGGGGTACCTCAGTGTTCAGCACGAAATACTATGATCCTCATCTTTGGGGCCCCACAGAAGGAAGTTGCCCCTAATTTTAAGAAGGCCCGGAAAACCCCATTGGCGCCTAGAATTCCATTTGAGCTACTGTCTAAACTCCTAGTATCCCCTTTAATAACCCCTATAGGTAGTCCCCTTCTATAATCCCCTATATACCCCCCCTTTAAGGAGTTTAGACTACAGCTCATTTGGGGTACATGGCCCCTACTTCAGGGTTTGGATGGGTCTGGTGTGGGTGATCCGAAGAGAGGTCACCCCAGACACCTGAGTAGTGTTTTTTTGGTGGTTGAACCTAGTAAGATAATATTCCTTATATAAACTACTATACCCCAAAAGGAGGATGTAATCTTACTCTACATTGGGTACCATAGTATTCACGGACATCAGTCGGTCATGGGAATCAAGCGCTGAGCACTTTGGCTCCTCAAATAG